AGCAGACCTTTGGGTTACAAGCCCAACTCTCTAACCATTAGGCCACGACTGCCCCAATAATAATATAATATTATGATATAATTATATTATAAGTACAGTTTTTTTAAATATGCTTTTTAAGATTTTAAGTACACTACAAGTGCACGTTCAGTACAATTAAGTACACTTCTTTTTCATAAGGGTGTCCTTGCTGTTCTCTAGTTGTCTCATGGAAAAACTATTCAGAGACTGTGTGACTTCAGTACGGCTGGTCAGTGGACTGTTGAATAAAATATGATTGTTGCGAGCCACAATGCCGCAAAATCGAACATCTCTGTGGCTGAAAACAAAGACTTCAATGTCTACAAATAAAGGAAGCCACTGTACAGTTGAATCTAGTGAGGGGCGTTAGTAGATTCCAGGCTGCAAATTGCTAGGAGAACTGGATGTTTGTCCAGTCCCAAACGTCTGCCCTACAGCTGAGACACATGAATATGGATAGGAACGTGCTGCTGGGGCTGTGTGGGAGCAGAGCTGAGAGGACTCTTTCACACTAGTCAATGTTCTGGTTTCACTGAGACTGGAATTCGTTTATGGGGACAATTGATGGGCATTTGATACAATCCACCCACTAACCATCCATCCTGGAGATACTCGGTACAACAGACAGGAACTTCAAGAGCCTAACTGGCTTTGTTATAACAAGATTAGATTTTACCAAGTCGGTATTTAAAAGTCCATGAAAGGTCTAATAAAAGATCTATCTGTCTGTCTGTCTGTCTGTCTGTCTGTCTGTCTGTCTGTCTCTGTCTATCTATCTATCTATCTATCTATCTATATATCTATCTAGCATCTGTTTGTTTATGCTGTCTGTCTGTCTATTTTTCTGTCTGTATATCTTTGGTTACACTTTATTTTAAGGTGTCCTTGTTACAGTGTAATTATACATTTAAGTACTGAGTAATATTAATTAACTACGTGTATTTACTATATGGTTAGGATTAGGGTTTGGCTTAGGGTAACTTGCATGTAATTATGCATAATTAATTGTTATTATAATAGTAAGTACATGTAACATGTGTAACAAGGACACCTTAAAATAAAGTGTTTCCATATCTTTCTCTCCATCTATCTGCCTGCCTGTCTGCTTATCTATCATATAAAGACATGTTAAAACCTTTTACAGCAGCAATAATGCCACTGTAATTAAGAGAAGAAAAAAAAATATATATATAGGCCTATATGTGTGTGTGTGTGTGTGTGTGTGTGTGTGTGTGTGTGTGTGACCCTGTCGACAGGTTCTCCAGCATGATTTAACCCTGAGCTATAAGAATGTGTTGATTCAGAGCATAGAGAAAATGCTTTAACCTGTGACACAGGCATACACAACAACATCACCGCTCATGACGAGGACGCAGGAGTAGCAGAACCAGTTCTGATGACACACATGTGTTTTTAGTGGTTGGAAGCGTAACTTTTAAGAAGAGCGTATTTTAATTGAATACATTTGGCACGAGGTCAACTCTGGAAACTATTCATCATCTGTTGTTCTGACTGGGTAAGTAAACACATTTTTCCAACCTTCTTCTTACACAAGTACTACCACCATATAGCTTTCTGAAACCTTGAAAGTTTGTTATCTATGTCCTTTAAAAGTTTTTATGGACTAGATTTCATGATTTCATGATCTCATGGAGATATATGGAAGATTGTGGATGTTTGACTGGCACATACTGTTTGAATCAGAGTGTTTGTGTGTATTGGAATGCAAAAGCGCTCCGTGGCCGAGGGGGACAGTAAAAGAGCTAATGACTTGGGAAAAAGGAGTGAATGAGACCCCCTGAAGAGTGTGAAAGCTAGCATTGAGAGGCAAATTCTGTCTTAAAATCCTTTGGCCTGGAAGCTCTGACAAAGCATCATGAGAAGGCGACCAAAGAAGAGCCTTAAAGCGACTTTCTAGATAAGTCCCATTCCTCCCCCGTCAAACTGGTTTCTTTACATTGTTTAGCTGTTATCTCAACACTGACACTTACACACTAATAATACGCTCCAAACTGACTCTTCCTTTGATGGTCAAGACTCTGGTTTAGAAACCCGTCATTGTTGATGAGCTTAATACTTCGAAATCTCTTAGTCTGAATGAAACTTTGTCAACTGCATGCTCAACAGCCTTACTGTTCTCAAATTGTTGTTACCAATTCAGCTCTATTCGCATTATTCCAATCAAAGTTAAGAAAGATAAGATCATAACATGATCATGTCATTGGCAATGATTTACACGGCGTTTAGGACATGCAAATGCACACTATCAAGAATGGCTTAAAAGAGTTTACCTGTTGGTTTCTTAGTACGCAGAGGCCACTCTATGCAGTGATGCATTAAATATGATGTTTGCATATCAAATTACAGTTTTCTCAACCCTTATTAGCCACAGTCTGTTAATATTTCTAAGTACCTTAAATCCTGATCAGATTAGATTCTTTGAACTTGGTAGTACATTTCAGTGTTTCAAGTCAAGTTTTCTAAGAACCGAATTGTCATTTAAAACCACACACCATGCTGTGAGAGCTGTGTTTATTTCACGGTTAAAATGAAATGAAATATCGATTTAACACAAAATTTGAATGTATAATCAGATATTTTACATGTGGTTTTGTTAGTCAGCACATCAAATTAAATGTAGTATTAAAATGTAATGATTGAAAATGTACAACCCTGTCGACAGGTTCTCCAGCATGATTTAACCCTGAGCTATAAGAATGTGTTGATTCAGAGCATAGAGAAAATGCTTTAACCTGTGACACAGGCATACACAACAACATCACCGCTCATGACGAGGACGCAGGAGTAGCAGAACCAGTTCTGATGACACACATGTGTTTTTAGTGGTTGGAAGCGTAACTTTTAAGAAGAGCGTATTTTAATTGAATACATTTGGCACGAGGTCAACTCTGGAAACTATTCATCATCTGTTGTTCTGACTGGGTAAGTAAACACATTTTTCCAACCTTCTTCTTACACAAGTACTACCACCATATAGCTTTCTGAAACCTTGAAAGTTTGTTATCTATGTCCTTTAAAAGTTTTTATGGACTAGATTTCATGATTTCATGATCTCATGGAGATATATGGAAGATTGTGGATGTTTGACTGGCACATACTGTTTGAATCAGAGTGTTTGTGTGTATTGGAATGCAAAAGCGCTCCGTGGCCGAGGGGGACAGTAAAAGAGCTAATGACTTGGGAAAAAGGAGTGAATGAGACCCCCTGAAGAGTGTGAAAGCTAGCATTGAGAGGCAAATTCTGTCTTAAAATCCTTTGGCCTGGAAGCTCTGACAAAGCATCATGAGAAGGCGACCAAAGAAGAGCCTTAAAGCGACTTTCTAGATAAGTCCCATTCCTCCCCCGTCAAACTGGTTTCTTTACATTGTTTAGCTGTTATCTCAACACTGACACTTACACACTAATAATACGCTCCAAACTGACTCTTCCTTTGATGGTCAAGACTCTGGTTTAGAAACCCGTCATTGTTGATGAGCTTAATACTTCGAAATCTCTTAGTCTGAATGAAACTTTGTCAACTGCATGCTCAACAGCCTTACTGTTCTCAAATTGTTGTTACCAATTCAGCTCTATTCTCATTATTCCAATCAAAGTTAAGAAAGATAAGATCATAACATGATCATGTCATTGGCAATGATTTACACGGCGTTTAGGACATGCAAATGCACACTATCAAGAATGGCTTAAAAGAGTTTACCTGTTGGTTTCTTAGTACGCAGAGGCCACTCTATGCAGTGATGCATTAAATATGATGTTTGCATATCAAATTACAGTTTTCTCAACCCTTATTAGCCACAGTCTGTTAATATTTCTAAGTACCTTAAATCCTGATCAGATTAGATTCTTTGAACTTGGTAGTACATTTCAGTGTTTCAAGTCAAGTTTTCTAAGAACTGAATGTCATTTAAAACCACACACCATGGTGTGAGAGCGGTGTTGATTTCACAGTTATCAGACTTTTTCCTGTTCAACCAGTTGAGACCGAGATGCTGAAACAAATAAAGTTTTCATTGTTTAAGATCTTGATAAGCATCAACATTTATTCCAGTGACATAAGACTTTTATATAGAGTTTCATTTGACTTCCAGAGGCTGATGATCAAGGTTATACTTGCAGACTAGTTGATGATTATTTATTTAATTTTTAATTGTAATTTTTAATAAAACAAATGTGGAATTTCCTCAAATCTGTCATTTTGTTTTAAAATGTCTTTATTTTTTTTGTGACAGTCTTGGTTATTCCCTTGTGAAAAAAGGTGAATTGATGAATTTGATGCAATTTCTATAGGCTATTTAAAATAGTATATCAACTTTAAATTAAATATCACATTTTTAAAGGGGTCATATGATGCGATTTTAAGTTTTCCTTTCTCTTTGGAGTGTTACAAGCTCTTGGTGCATAAAGAAGATCTGTAAAGTTGCAAAGATGATCTTTAAAATAGCATCATATGACCCCTTTAAATTATTTAAAATGTACAGTGAAACTTTTAATTTGACATTATTAATTGACAGTGTTCTTTTTAAAAGTGTTATGAATGTAATAAAAGTGTCTCACTTAAGTGTTTTTATTTAATTAATATTATATTGTCTGCAAGTACAATTAAAAAAAAACATATTTATAAGATTTCAATCAAATTAAGCTCACTTCTTTTTCACAAGTAAAACTGTGGTATTTTGGTGGGAACTATGGTTAGCTACTAAGGAAATTTCTTGTAGCCCTTAAATGTCAATAGCCTATCTCTAAAAGCCATGAAAGGCCCAAATAAGTGCTTTGCTGTGTTTATAACGGCATTATTTACATTTAGTGGTGCTTGTTTATCATGGGCAAGTTTCGGTGACTGTTTAGTGTAAATGAAATCATTCTAATGCTAATGAGCTATCGACTGCCCTCGTGACGTCACGGCGAGGCTGCTAGAGCGCGTGGGCTTGTGCACAGTGTAGATGAGTTCAGGGCGCGCGACTGCGAGTGTGAACATCAAATACTTACAGCGCGAGACTAAACGCGAGATGCTTTGCATCAATACAGCATCGAGACATCCGGCTTTAACCTGAACTACATGCACAGACCTCCAGGTAGGTTTCTGCGTGTACGACTGGCTGCTTTAAATGGATTTGGTTTAATAATTGTGGGTTAAATGACACATTTGCAGTTTGAATGCTGTAAACAAAAGTGTAAATGGGTAGTTGACAAATATACCGTAAATGTGTCCTATGGTGTGACAGCAAAAAATTAGAAAACAAACTAACAATGAAGAAAAGTCTCTCTTATGCTATTTGTATGCTAGTAACAATTATTAACAAGAAATTAATTATTAATAATGATTAATTATTGTTTTCTAAATTTAGCTGTTACACCATAGGACACATGTACGGTATATGTCAACAACCCATATGCTAAATAGCTCAAATAACATTAAAATATGCACATTATTGCATTTTTTATGTCTGAAATGATATGGTTTTGTCTTTACATTTAAGACTTGTCTTGTAATTGTTCTCTTTAATTGGTAAACTCATGTATTTCTGATGCTTATTCAGTCTAAATTCTAAAGTGCATTTTGGCATTCATTTAAAGAGGTTTAGCTGCCAAATGTTTTCATTCAAGTTTTGGATTTACATTAGCCAGAGGGTAAAAGCGTTTGGCTTGTCTGTGCTTGACAAACTAGAGGGCTCCTATACAGTAAGAATTCAAATGAGTAGATTTTGTGCTAATTTGCTTCTTTGTCATACTGATAGCCTGGCTTAGATGTGCCATCATGAGGTGCTCTCCCTCTGTGGTTATTTATCTGAGTGGTGGGCAAACACATCAGTGTGTGCTGGCCATCATGAGAGGAGTGATCCCAGCAGATGCATGGGGACAAACACCACGGTGACTCCTCTAATAGATGTTCTGCAGATACTGGATCCTAATTTGATACTAAATGTGGTATTATTCATGCAAACTAACAAATGAACCAAAAATGTCATGATATGACATTTTTCACGATTCAAGCATGTTATTGTGGACATACACCATGGTGTATGTTGGAGTATACGAAGCAACTAAGTACCATGGTATCATTCAATGTACCAGCATCATGTTTGTTTGTAAGTTTCAGTTACTTTTATAAGCAATAAATTATTTCAAATTGTTAACACCAAAATCTCAGTAAGTACTAATGCAGTTGTTCAACCAGCGGCATGCAAATGTTCTAAAGCCTATATGATGTGAACATAACAAGGAAGTTTTCCTATCAACTAGTTTATCAGATGGAGGGATGAATCTGATGAGTTTAGTCAAATCTAGCCAGTTGGAGAAACTGAATTTGTTTTTTTAGTTTCCAGATTTGCAAATTTGCCTGTTAGGTATACTCACCCTTGTGAAAAAGAACTGTACTTGCAGATAAATCTACATGTAGATAATATAATGTTAATGAAATATAACGCCACTTAAAGAGAGTACACTCTTAAAACTTATTAACACACTTAAGTACACTTTTAAAAAGTGCTTTGTAATAATGTCAAATTAAAATTTTTACTTAAAAGTACATTTTAAAGGATTTTTTTTTGTCATGATTTAAATGCACTCAATTTGATGTGTCAACTAACATACTAAAGCACATGTAATTAGAAAGTAATTGATGTTTCTTTAAGTACTGTGTTATTTGATATTACATTTAGTTAAGTTACTATATTTTAAATGCACTAAATTGGAGCTTCATCATTATGATTACAAATATATTTAAATACATAACATACAAGTTTCAATAGAAATGACATTAAAGTATATTTTAGTTGATCATAAATGAAATAACCATATTTCAACTACAATAGATGTAATAATGAAATTACATATAAAGATGTACTAAAAAGAAGTCCTACTTAAAGGGTTAGTTCACCCAAAAATGAAAATTAGGCTGCGTTTTACTCACCCCCGAGGCATCCTAGGTGTATATGACTTTCTTCTTTCAGACGAATCCAGTCGGAGTTATATTAAAAATTGTCTTTGATCTTTCAAGCAGTTTAATGGCACTCAGCGGGTGCTGCATTGGTTCAGTCCAAAAGAACTTAAATAAAAATCGCCCATCCATAAAAAAAAGTGTCTCACACGGCTCCGGGGGGTGAACAAATGCCTCCTGTAGCGAATCGATGCGTTTTTGTAAGAAAAATATCCATATTCAAAACGTAATAATCACTTGAATTTAGCTTGCGCTCACTGTTGTACACAGAAGCAGTTCCGGGGGCATGACGTATGAGGTCAGCTTTGCGCATGCAGACATTTTTTTTATGGATGGGCGATTTTTATTTGTTCTTTTGGACTGAAGCAATGCAACACCCGCTGAGTGGCATTAAACAGCTTGAAAGATCAAAGACCATTTTTAATATAACTCCGACTGGATTCGTCTGAAAGAAGAAAGTTATATACACCTAGGATGCCTCGGGGGTGAGTAGAACGCAGCCTAATTTTCATTTATGGGTGAACTAACCCTTTAAGTGGCTCAAAAAAGCTTATGTTCAACTAATTTAATACAAATTTAAGCTATAATACATTTTCATTTAATTGCAAATTAAATTATATTCTAGTTTATTTCCGTAATAAGTACTCTTTTCAAAATTATGCTAAAATGTTCTTGTTTTTCAGAAGGGCAAACAATGACTATATTCACACAACTAGCATTAATCTACTGTTCGCTGCATCCCAGACTGCCCAGGAAAACTCTTGAACCGCTAAGTCTAGAGAGAATCTTTTATATCACAGCCAGCTGTTGTCCACTTGACGCAGAGCCTTCATTGAAGACTAGGCGTGTGTGCAATGTAATCACAACAGTCATAGCCACCCCTAGTAAATATCCAGATCCCTGATGGGTCATTTAGACCTTCATCATTACTTCAGAGCTGCACATAAAATTCAGCAGGAAACACTTCTTGCGAGAAAAGATCAGCCTCCCCCGGTGTCATTTATAAGGCTTATGAGGTATTGATCTTGGCAGCTGATGCTCTTTGTGTTGGAAGTAGGATCTGTAAAAGCTTTCTTTAATCCAGCGTTACACCCGTGGGAGCAAAACATGGGAAACTTCATGTTCTACAACTGTCAAGTTGATTATAATGATAAAGAGCTGAAATTAAATATGGGTAAGCTGAAACCTCTTGGTCCAGTTTCAGAAGTCTGAAGAAGCTTCCTTTTGTAGACTTATTCCAGTATTAATAACGGACAGTGCCAAAGTCTGTGTGTAATTTTATTCTTATAACTGATTTTAAAATGCAAAACTCGCCAATATTGACATGGAATGCCTAGTTTGTGTCCACAGTTTTTAAAGCCTGACTAAACGTATTAAATGCATCTCCTTTCAGTCAAAAGCTATAGATTTATTTAATGTGTGGGATATCAGAAACACAAGAATGGAGGCTGAGATCATTATCCTGGCGTTTCTCATCCAGTCCATCTCTCAACAGAGACAAGGGATGGCTGGGAAGCCATTCCGAGCCACGTACATCTGGACGAACATCATCAACAACCTTCAGACGCAGGTGGAGGTGAAGAGGAGACGCCACAATCTGAAAGTCTACCATGACTGCTTTCTGGGCTCCGAGGCTGTGGATGTGGTTCTGGCTCACATCATTCAGAGCAAGTTCTGCGGAGACGCCAAGGTGCCTCGTTCCAAAGCCGTTCGCCTCTGCCAGGCCCTCATGGAGGCCAGAGTCTTTGAGGCCGTGGACACTAAGGTGTTTGGGAAAGAAAAGAGGCCAGCGACGTTTGAGGACAGCAGCTGTAGTCTGTACAGGTTTCTAAACAGACCGACCCCAAGCGCATCAAGCTCAGAGACCATTGAGAGTGGATACGACTCTCTCAGCATACAGAGGAACACGTACAGTCCACCCTACAAAAGGTAGGTATCTCACAACGCTGTTTCCCCACATCAAATCACCTTCACTCAGTGAAACTTTATACTGTATAACTTGTAGGGTTGTAGACCTTTTCCTAATGCTTTCTCTAAAAGACTGGCCTGAAAGGAATGAATGTCATTTCAGACCTGTAGGAACTTATTTCATCTGTGAAACACAAAAGGAGAAATTTTGAAGACTGTGCTGGCTGCTCCTTTCCATGCAATTACGATGAATGGGGAATGAGTCTTTCAAGATTCTAAAAGGAGGCAAAACACAGAATAAAAGTCATAAAAGTAGTCCATATACAATTCCAAGTGTTGCCAATTTAACTCCCTTTGTGTGAGGAACAGACCAAAATTCAAAGTCGTTATTCACTGATAATCTTCCTAACTTCTGTGACCAAATCAGATTAGTCTGGTTTGTAGGGCTGGGTAAAAAATATCGATATCTCGATATTAATTGATTCTCATTTTTATGGGACGATATCAATTCTTAAATCCCAAGAATTGATTAGTCTAGCCTGTTTTCAGTTAATGGACAGAACGTTGAAGGGCACTTCCCATCCAATATATCGCAATAAGCATTGTGGTTTGGTACTTTTAATATGAAACAAAGTCTCAGATTTCAAATTCTTTCCATTGTATTGCAGTATTCAAACAATAAATGCCGTTTTGGCGCTGCTTAATGTGGAGTGACAGATCGCTGTAGCACGGCGCGCCTCAGTTCAATAGGAGGCGCATGTGAACTGATCATCTCCTCCACATTAATACCAGTTTCAGCACAAAATAAACATGACTAAACATCCGAAGGTAAGTTAAAATAAAGAGTATAACTTTACAAGCCGTATCCTCTCATGTAATCGCTCGATCAGTGTTCCAGCCGCGCAAAGACGCCAATATAAAGGCTTGTAAACAATGTCACGTAACGTCACATTTAGATTTTTTTTCCTTGAGAAAATTTGTATGTACTGTACCTGATATATATCCAGAATAATCGATATTGAATCGAATCGCATACTTGTGAATGAGAATCTAATCGAATTGTGAAATTTGTGTCAAAACCCAGCCCTACTGGTTTGTGAACGAATCATTCAGACTGGTTTTGTGAACTTGATCATTTGACTTCTTGATGACTGAAAACATTTGACTCAAAACGATTGTGCATCACTACTTTTCTCATGAACTCTTATGTATGAAGTCAAAAGTTTCAGCGAAGAACTTCAGAAAGTAACTTGACTGATTGATTAACTTGATTCTTGACGTCTGCAATTTAATTGGATTAAAAATATTTTGGATAAAAAAAAAATATGTTTCTGTCGCACTGAAGAACGTCCAGATTTTGACAGAATGTTCATTTTTGGGAGAACAAAATATGTATGAGCAATTTCAGTGTCACAAATAGCAAAATGTGTGGAAAACATGGAGAAAAGTGCATTGTGTTTTCATTTCCAGTAGGTCACCTCCTAAGATACAAGTGTTGGTAAAACCTTGCAAAACTAGTTAATCATTTACTTGTTTTTAGTTTCATAGAGATCTTACAGAATGCTTGGTATTTTTTCTGAATTGTTTTTCCTTTGAGATTTTATACTTTGAAATACCTCAAATCGACTGAGGTTGCTATTAAAAGCCAATCCTCTATAAATGCCCATGAAATGTCAACATCACAGTGAATCATGGACTAAAGGGCCTTATTTGGTGATTCCTACAAGAATGCATGGTCACACTTTATTTGAAGGTCCAATTCCCACTATTAACAAACCATTAACCTCGACTTTTGCCTCAATAAACTCCTAATGTGCTGCTTATTAATAGTTAATAAGGTAGTTGTTAAATTTGGGTATTAAGTAGGATTAGGGATATAGAATATGGTCATGCAGAATATGTGCTAATAAAGAGCCAATATTTTAATAATAGGCATGCTAATAAGCAACTAATTAATAGTGAGAATTAGTCCCTATACTAAAGTGTTACCGAATGCATGAAACTTGTTCAGATTGGAAACAGTTTCAGACATGTGATATACTCATTACTATTGTCTGATTATTTTCTTCAGGAAAGAAGATTCTGTGTATTCAAACAACTCACCTGTCAAAACGGATACATCTCTGGAGGATGTTTTGGGAAATCTGAACATGAACACAACCATCACACCACAGATGATGAATCTGGGGTTATCACAGGAGTGTATGTTTTCTTTAGAAATAAATGCATGCTTTGTCTAATGTCATGAAAAACAATTTGAAATATGTTTTTTGACTGTTTGACAAAATTGTCATAAAATCAGCTATTTTATTATTTATTACTAAAATAAATTGCCAAAATATATTGGATTTTTTTTTAAGTATTAAAGCTGTCGTGTCTGTGTCAGTGATGGATGAAATATGGCGGCAGCAGACGGTACTAAGACTCCTACAGCTGATTGAGCTGCCGCTTCTGGAGAGCCTGTTGGAAGGTCAAGAGAGCCCTCGCCCGCCCCTCCACAGCATGGACAGTGACCCAGACCTCCTCTACACCAGCAGCTACCTGGACCGTGAGATCCTCAAGGCCTTCAGCGAGGCTCAGTATGCTGATTATTTACATATCATGCTCCATCTCTATTTGTTTAAAAGGGTCATATGACATTGCTAAAAAGAACATTATTTTGTGTATTTGTTGTAATTCAATGTGTTTATGCGGTTTAAGGTTCAAAAAACACATTATTTTCCACATACTGTACATTATTTTTGCTCCTATTTGAAATTGCATCATATGACCCCTTTAACTCCTCTCCTTTTTATTCTGGGGTGTTATAGAGTTGCAATAAATGACAAAACTAGACTTGTACATTTTATGCAATATATAGAGTTGCAAAAAGTGTTGTTTAAAAAAATATCCTTCTCCATAAATGTTGAAATAATCTCAAACGTTTAGTGGACTAAATGGGAAATATAAAGTACATAGTCACACTATGTAACGTGTATGCAAAATAAAAATGCATGCAGAAGAGTATTGTTTTGGTTGTGCGTCGGCTCTGCTCCTCTGCGCGGATGAATATATGGTTCGACGCAGCGGTGTGCACATGAATTCAGGACGTTATCAGAGAAGATGGACAAATAAATAACAGTTTTGTGGTTTTTACAAACGATTAAACAAACAGAGGTTTGCCTTTTAAATGATTAATGTTAATTATTTTCTTGTTCGTTGTGACAACGAACTTTCAGCAGTACTTTAACCACAGCTGGAGCTTCTTTGACGTGGCACGCACAGGCGAATGACGTATATGTATGGAATTTCCCGCGAAATCCATCCCGACAGCGCTAAAATGTAAATCATTAGTGCTTGGCTAAAGACATGGTTTGGAAGATGGATTTTTTTTGCACTCTTTCAATAACATTTTGTAATTTTTATATATATATATAAAAAAAAAAAAAATTTAAATGAACAGCAATGTGCACCATATTGTGTTTAGGCGAGGGTCAGCTGGACATTATGTAATAGTTCTGTTTAAACCCAAACCATGGGGCATGTTGTTTTTCCCCACTCATGATCAAGAAACTCCCTTTTTTCCTCTAACACACTTTTGATGAATAAAATCTCTTAGTAATCTTCTCATTTAATTATTCTGTCCTTGCCTTTTATGTGTTGTGTGTTTTTAGATGGCTGTGCTTTTAATTGATGCAGTGTATCTTTCCATCATTTTCTTTCCTTTTTTGTCTCGTTAACAGAGCAGACAGCTGGTTGTCAGTGGCTGTGGACTGTCTGGAGTTTCTTCCTGATCAGTTGGTGGTGGAGGTGAGCCGAGGACTGGCCAAGTGTGCGGAGGAGACGTCCCAGTACAAGCAGCTCCTCTACGGAGTCCTCGTTCAGCACTACGGCCAGTCTGACTACCCACCGCTGCTCAGCAACCACGTCTTTGACATCCACTCAGGCGTCTCCGAGCTGCTTGGTAAGAGATCAGTCTCTTATATGTTATATATATATAAATGGATATGTTAGCTTGACCTGACATTTATATGAAATTAAATTTGGCTTATTAGTGGCCCTTGTGAAAATGAAGTACACTTTAGAATACTTTTAAAAAGAGTACTTTTAAGGAAATAATATACTTCAAAAGAATTTACTGAAGTGCAAACTGAAATGCAATTAAATGAAAATCTATTGTAGTTAAAATTTTAATTAAATGCAATTAGTTGAATTAAAGAGTGCTCTTTGACCCACTTTAATGGGATTTAAAAATAGTTCACCCAAAAATGAAAATTTACTCACCTTCAGACCATCCAAGATATAGAAGTTTGTTTCTTCATCAGATCAGATTTGGAGAAATTTATCATTCCATCACTTGCTCATCAATGGATGCTCTGCAGTGAATGGGTGCCGTCAGAGTGAGAGTCCAAACAGCTGATAAAAACACCACAATAATCCACAAGTAATCCACACCACTCCAATCCATCAATTAATGTCTTGTGAAACGAAAAGCTGAGTGTTTGTAAGGAACAAATCTATCATTAAGATGTTTTTAACTGTAAACCGTTGCTTCTGGCCAAAAACAATTTCTTTATTCATAATATTGCTTTCCGCAGTGAAGACGTTGTCTCATCTGAATCAGGAGAGAAATATGCACAGATCAAGCACTGTTTCCCCATGAAAACAGTCCAAAGTAGTTCTAAACAAATGTGAAGGGGGTGTTTTTTTTAAATGTTTGTGCTACAGGATCAAATCTAGTTGCTGAAAACCAATAGCAGTACCTTAGAGACCACTTAACAACCATCCGTAACACCCTAGCAATGTACTACAGGCCACTGGAATGTTGCTGAAAATCTGTCACAACTCACTTAGTTATATTTCTCTGCTTGTGTGCAGTGAATGGGAAGCAGGAGCAGGCGCTGGAGTCTCTTCAGCTCTGTCTGAAGCTGCAGGATTCACGCAGTAGAGAGGAGCTCCGCAGGCTACTGCGCTTTATGGCCCTCGCCGCCAGCCCTCAGGAGATCAAACTACACAAAGAGGTACGAATAATCTGGATAATACGGTTTGAGTGTGTTTTTTATGCTGTGTAATGGAGGAAATGAAGTGGTGATGTGGTTGATGAATAAATAAGAGCACTCTGATTTAGTTTCTGAAAGACATAGATGAACATCATAGTTGCAGAATGTGTTTGGAAATCATTTACAAAATATGGAAAAAATGATCTGCACTCGAATTGATGTCGAACGTCCAGTATGTTTGCTGCGAAATCAGAGCAGTGCACAGTACGACAGTGTTTCTATCGCACAAAAGTGTCATTGTTAAAAACAGAAACTAAAGTGAGCTTTGCAGTTGCCATGCTTGTGAAAAGACAGTGAATGAAACAACAGCCTCTTTTCTGCTTTCGCCCGATAATCATTTATTACACCTACATAAATACCATTCCTTCATCCCTACAGAAACTTGACAAGCTGTTTGTTTGTTCTGTTCTGTAGATAGAGAACCGAATGGCAGTGAAGAGGGCGTTCTCCAATGCTATTGTGTATGGGACTAAACTAGCCAAGGGGAAGGTTGATCTTCTGGTTCTTTTCATGACGGACAAGCACCATGACCTCTTCAAGGTGAGTCAGCAGCTCAGACTGGCCTCTAAAAACACTACAAAACTATCTGCACAGTGTGTGTGTGTGTGTGACAGTGCTGTTAACAAAATACAACCAGACATACACTGTATAATATACACTACTGTTCAAAAGATTGGCGTCTGTAAGAAATGCTGTTCTTTTGAACTTTTGATTCATCAAAGAATCCTGAAAAAAGTATCATGGATTCCACAAACATTAAGCAGTAAAAACGGTTTTCAATGTTGGTAAAAATTTTAAAAAACTGTCATATTCGAATGATTTCTGAAGATCATGTGACACTGAAGACTGGAGTAATGATGCTGAAAATTCAGCTTTGCATCACAGGAATAAATTACATTTTAAAAAAATATTCTCATACAAAACAGTAATTTTACATTTAATAATATTTGACAATATTACTGTTTTTACGATATTATTGATCAAATAAATGCAGCCATGGTGAGCAGAAGAGACTTCTTTCAAAAAAGAAAAAATCTTAATCTTAATGACCCCACATGTTTGAATAATAGTTTATATCAGCATATATAACAATCGTAATGGTCCTTGTTTTTTTTTGTTTTTGTTTTTTTTAAATGAAACATTCATCTGCCTTGTCAATAATTTAGGTCACTGTTCTATCATAAATTTGTGTTTCTGTGCCTGAAGTGAACTGACAGCATCTTTTTACCCTAGATTCCCGTCACATTGCACAAACTTGTAAGTGATAAACTGGCCAGTATCATCAAAGGAACAGATCCTGATCTCATCACAGGTAAAACTACAAATATATGGAAAATATATGAGAAAATTTATGTCAAGTCTTTCATGCTGTTTTTTTTTATTTTTTATTTGCTTAATTTGTTTATTAAACTTTTACAATAATAACAGGAAGAAATGCAAGAGAATAGTGAAAAAATATTGTTCAGGTCCGTTAAATAATACTAACAGATACAACTTTTGATTTTAAAGGGGTCATATGATGCGATTTCAATTTTTCCTTTCTCTTTGGAGTGTTACAAGCTCTTGGTGCATAAAGGAGATCTGTAAAGTTGCAAAGACTAAAGTCTCAAATCCAAAGAGATATTCTTTATAAAAGTTAAGAGTCAGCCACGCCTACCTAAAACGGCTCGTTCTAACACGCCCCACATATCTACGTCACGATGTGGGAAGATTTGCATAAAGCCGCGGGGCATAGAGGAGAAACAATAATGTACAGTATGTGGAAAATAATGTGTTTTTTTAACCTTAAACCGTATAAACACATTTCATTACACCAAATACACAAAATAATGTTCTTTTTAGCAGCATCATATGACCCCTTTAATAACGTATTTGTAAATGTTGAAATTGACATTAACTGAGATTAATAGATGCTTTAGAAGTAGCTTTCATTGTTAGTTCATGTTAACTAATGCAGTTAACTGATGTTAACAAATGAGAACATTATTGTAAAGCATCATCGCAATCTTATCATAGTATATGTTTGTGAGCCAAATTTGTAAATAAAACACTGCTAATAATGGATGATCCTTGATTTGCTAAGAGAATGCATTTCAGATCTTCCCTCTCTTTCAGGAACAACGTACTGTCGCCGTCTGACTGGAAAAGATTACCTGGAAACAGTTCAGAAAACTACCAGAGAGGAGCTGTGGACGTTACTCAAAACTATTCATGAGAACTCGAAGCTCTCTCTGAAGGAGAAGCGCCGTCTGCTCGGACAGTTCTACAAAGGACATCCTGAAATATTTGTACAATATTTTGGCAACAGAATATCCAATGCTTATATTTAAAGGATCTTCATTTAATATTATACTGTATAATACTGTATGTAAAAAGTATCTTGTATGTTGTAAATATGTACATATTATAGAAAAACTGAATACTACTCTTATGTCTGTATTGATAAGGGAATGGGATTTGTTGGACAATAAACACATTTTACTTTTCTTTATCAAAATTTGGACAAAATTATATTACTACTTCTTACCCTGAAAACCACATGTTCTCAGACCACAACTCAATCCTACATATAAATTAAAATACTTCAGAAAAACTAAGAAGTATGTCTTTAAATAAATATATATATATAATGGGTTACAAATGAAACAAGTTAACAGACTCAGAGTCCAAACTTGACTATAAGATATGAAAACAAAATCAGGCCAAATCTTCTTTCAAGATCCTCTTTCTGTATTTCACATGCTTTGAGTTCAACAGGGTCACAGGCTTTAGTGAGATTAAGGTAATTAAAGAAATTTAAGGTATGTATAGAAATTATTTGATACTTGCATTTGTAATTTCTCTCATTATAATATTTTTAAAGGGGTCATCGGATGCCAATTTTCCACAAGTTGATATGATTCTTTAGGGTCATAATGAAAAGTCTGTAACATAGTTTGGTTAAAATTACTCAATGGTAGTGTAAAACAACACCGTTTTTACCCTGTCAAAAACAGCTCTTTTCAGAACAAGCTGTTTTCTTGCATGCCGCTTTAAATGCAAATGTGTTCTGCACGCCCCGCCCCTCTCTTCCGAGCAGCTCTCAGAGAGACTGTTTACTTTAGCCGCATTCATCGTGAAATTTGCTAACTAGCACGTTATTAGGAAAGGCGATTTGCAAAGATTCATTAAAAAACCGTATACTCCTTCTGGAGGTGAAGCTGGGCCACGAATGATTCGCGCGAAGATAGAGGCATTTAGGTAGATCTGGGGTGCATTCCCTTCAGAAAAATATGTAATCCACTGCGTCTTCAGCGGCTCAGATGTCGGGAGTAAATGACTACTGCTGTGTTCATTATCACATCCAACAACAGAACACCTCAATCGCTTAGGAGCCATTCTTGTCTACATCTGCTCCGGCGTCGAAACAATGGCAGACTGATGACAGCTCACTCAGGGCGGAGCTAAGGTAAGACACACCAGTCCAGTCTGTGCTGAAACGCTACTGTCAATCAAACTAT